CGGCCCGAACCCCGCCGCCGGTGAGTCCTCGCCGCCCGCCGGGTTCACTGGTCCACCAGGTTTTCGTCGTGTGGGAGGGACCCCGGATTGGGCTCTGAATCCTCGCCCCGCCCCTGCGTGCCTCAGTTTCCCCGCCTGGACAGTGGTTCCGAGGACCGTACCTGTGCCCGAAGTGCTCCATTCACCGGAGCTACTCTGTTCTTGCTGTTGTTTAAGTAATAGTAACGGCCCCGCTGCTGCTGGCAGTCGCGGCGCGTTGATTTCCTCTGTGCCGGGCATTGAGCTGGGTGCGTAGTGCTTAGTCCGCTAAACTGAGTGCTTCGCTGAGTACTTACTCGATGCCCTGCAGAGGGGTGCCCCGCTCCAGCAGTCGCCTGGAGCTCGTCAGAGATGCTGATCCTCAGACCCCGACCTCTACCATGAAGACGGACTCAGATTCGCTGGGTGTGTCCCTTGGGCCGTGGCCTCCCAAGCTCCCTGGATGATGCTGGTGCACGCTGAGCTTGGAGAGACCCCTCCTAGCTCGTTAAATCCTCGCAGTAGCCCGATCCGGTACGCACTATGACGTCCTCATTTTGCAGATGAGAAAACTGAGGAACCAAAAAGAAAAGGCCCCCACAGTTGGGGGAGAGTTAGTGTGACTTAATAACCACACTTAGGAAGCCCGAGTTGGGCACGATTCTAGGTCCTTATTTGTATTGACTCACTTAATCCTCACGACAACCCTATAAAGTAGGGTTATCACGACCCTCATCTTACAGATGAGGAAACAGAGGGTTGAGTTACCTGCCCAGGGACACACAGCTGGGAAGTGGCAGAGCCGAGATTCGAACCTAGGCAGTCTGGATCCAGGGTCTGAGCTCTGTCAGCACAGCGCCCCCTAAGGTGGGGCATGTGCCAGGCCATGTAGTGCAGAGTAGCCATAGAATATTAGTTTGTGTTCCTCTGTCATTTCTGTCTGAACAGAAAGTGATTCAACTCTACTCCTTAATTCTAAGATGCGTTTTTTTTTCACACTTTAACATCTCCAAAATTAGGATGTGTCTTAACACTGATGATATGTTGTGGTTTAATTGGCAGATTTTTTTTCCTTAGTAAGAGAAAAAAAAAAGATTTCTTTCAATCTATGGTCTCTTGGAGTCAACGAAAGCTTTTAGTGGAGTACACATGTATAGATATATACGGCATTTGGTGTAGTTATGTGTATTAGTGCAATTACGGTATTTAATGTGCGCTTGTATAAACACACCTTACTATGTACATGTATATACAGTATTTAGTGTGTGTTTATACACACACCTTATTTATAACGGTACACAGTATTTAGTGTTTTTACACCTTATATACATGTGTATATGGTATTGTGTGTAAACAGTTTAAATGCCCATGTGCATGGTTTTCAGAACAGTAGTATCTGTAAAATCAGATTACATATATCTTACATACATATGTAGTATTTAGTGTGCATGATTACACACCATACACAGGCATATACGGTATTTAGTACCGTAGCACACAGATATAAGGTCACATACTTCTTATAGACACGTATATGTGGCAGGTAGTGTGTGACTGGATATTCAGTGTGTAATCTTATACTCACGTATATCACTTCCTGTATATCTTACATGCATGTCTATATGGTATTTAGTGTTTGATTACATCTCATGTGCACATACATACGGTATTTGGAGTGTGTGTGCCAGAGAATTCAGTGAGGACAGGCGACAGCAGGGCCTGCTTCACCAGTGTGCAACCCATGCAACTGTACAGGGCCCACACTCCATCTCAAGCCCTGCAGCGGTCTTTTTGAAATGCTTAATAATCCCTGGACAAAAGGCCCCATGTTTTCATTTTGTACCAGGCTCCCCAAACTATCCTCAGTTTTGGGGGCCAGGGGGAGAGAGATTAGACCAGGCAGGTGTTGACAGACCATAATCTGCAGGGCCAGACTTGCTTTCACATGACCCCCGAGGTAAGAATGGCTTTCACATTTTGTAAGTGTTGTAAAACAAAGGGAAAAGAATATGAGACAGAGGGCTCCTGTGGCTTGCAAAGCGTAAAATATTTACTCTCTGACCCTTTGCAGAAAAAGTTTGCCAGCCCCTGCCATCGATCAAGTTATTTGTGCAAACTCCAGACACTTCTTCAACGAGGGCTGGCAAAACCCTTGTTTGGTCTCATGGTTTCTCTTGTTCCCTCAGGTGGGCCCCCGGCACTAAGTGGAGGAGACTGGCCAGCTCCATTGCTTCCTTCACCTCGGCCAGATTGCGGCACAGACTAGCTACTGTCCTTGGTGCTGAAGCCCACCGACGGGGGCCTCCAGACACTGGAGTAAACGTGATTCTCTGCTAAACGGCTGTCTGCTGGCTGCAACATCTGGTGTCTGCCACAAAGGTTTGCCCAGGGAGCACCTGTTGTAGCTCACCCATAGTATTCGTTTGCCCGGGCTGCCATGGCGAAATACCACAGGCTGGGGGCTTGAACAACACATCTATTTCCTCATGGTTCTGTGGGCTAGAAGTGCGAGATCAGGGTGTGGGCAGGGTTCCTGTCTTCCGAGATGTCTCTCCTTGGCTTGCAGGTGGTGGCGCTCTTGTGGCTCTTTATGTGGTCATCCCTCTGACCACGTGCAGCCTGGTGTTTTTCTCTCTTCTTAGAACACCAGTCATTGGATTAGGGCCCACCCATATGACCTCATTTAACCTCAATTACCCCTTTAAAGGCCCTATCTCCAAAAATGAAGTCACGTTTTGAAGTTACTGGGTGTTAGGATTTCAACATGTGAATTTGGGGAGAACACATGCAATCTAGAATTTCCCAAATGGCTAGAAACGTAACCTTTTATAACAGCATGAGAACTCACCTTGCATTTGGGGTGAAAGGGAGACAGCGACCCCCCCACACTTCTCACTTTCCTTCCTTCCTTCATCGTGCAGTCAGTCCTGGGATGCAGCTGTCCTGTCAGAGGCCGCATTTCCCACTTGCATCTGGGGGGGGGCATGGACCAATCCTCCCCTGTGGAAGGTGAGGAGGGATGTGTCCAGAAAAGGCTGGTCCTTTGCCACTTGCCCGTCCCCCATCTGCTGCCTGGATGCCGACCCCCAGGGCATCTCCAGAAGTGGTGCGCGGAAGATGATGGAGAGTTTAGACCCCTGACACCCTCCGGGGGAGATCCTCCTATGATCAGCTGCGAAGAGTAAGGCCCCAGGTCTTTGGGGTTTCTTGCTGCATTGAGTCCATGCTCACTCACTCTGTGACCTCACCATCACCCCCACCCTGTGTGGGAGGTCAGGCATCACTCCATTAGCAGACAAGGAAGCCCTGAGCAAGCCCAGATTCACCACCGGGTAGCTGGCAGAACCAGCAGTTGAGCCTGGGACCCCCGACCCCAGAACCCACCTGACCACACAGCAGCCCTGCATAGGCTGCAGACCAGGGGTCCAGCCCGGGCCTGGCCCAACTAGCATTTCTCAAATAAATATGGGAATCTGGTGCCATTTAGAAAATGGAAACATTGCACATAAAAGCGCTCAACTCCATGACCTGGAGCAAAGCATGAGTGCTCTGAGCCTCAGTTTCCACAGCTGAAAAACCAGGGTGGTAACAGTACTCTCGACAGGGCTTGCTGATTAGTATTTTATTATATTGTTGATACTAATAGAGCACTATTATATTATTTACCATTCATTAGTAATAAGAGAACACCATTATCAATAATAAAATAATTATTAAGGCTGTGGATGAGGCATACATTGGACAATGAACCTGCTTGACTCAAAGCACTTTATGTTCACAAGAACCCCATCCAGGATGGCGGGGGGGTGAGGTCATAAGTCTGATTTTAGGGAGAGTGGTTTGCACCTCTCCTGTAACTCTGAAACTTCCCGGATACTGCTGGTCCTGCCTAGGAGGGCTCGCGCTTTGCTGGGTTTCTGCAGGAAGAGCCTCCTCCCCATCTCTGAGGCTGCAGACCATTGCCAGGCCAGGAATCCGAGGCTGCGAGGGGCAGTCAGCCAGCCGACCCAGGAGACCCCTCCCTCATATTCTGCAGCAGGCAAGCTGGGTTCCTGTGGGTACTGGTGGGGTCCCCAAAGTGGGGCAGCATCCAGGCAGCTAAGAGCAGAAGGGCCACCTCCCTCCAGCCTGAGCGTCCTGGGGCTGCTGCTTGGCCAAAGGCCAGCAGGGAGCCTTGTCCAGCTGCCGAGGCGAGGCCAAAGGGGGTCGGGGAGATTGGCGCTGACTGGGGTGATGGTGTATTAACCATGCCTTTTATTGTCTGATGCTTTGACATCTTAGGGCCCTGCTGATGTGGAGAGACTGCCCCCTCAGGCTAAGCTAATTCCTAGAGATAGGAAACACCTGTAAACGCACTTTTCAAATGCAAACCAACCCATCCAGAGCCCACCCCCCCAGAACCTCCTTTATGGGGCTCTCACATTCCAGCCACGACCCTCTGCCCTCATCCCCCCCAGGGCAGGCTCTGGACAACTCGGGGCAGCCCCCACTGAAATGATTCAAATCAGCGGATCCTAAGTCTGCTCTGTTCCTTCCCACTGGGGGCAGGGGCGGAGGGTTGCTGTGGATGTGGCACGGAGGATACAAGCCGGATCCAGGACTCCAGGAAATGTGTTAGGTGCGGATGGAGGGGGCTGGCACCTGGGAAAACTCACTTGCTTATTCATAAGCTGGTCAGCTAGCATTTACTGAGTGCCCACTGTTGACTCCTTCACTCAACAAACATCTACTGAGTACCTGCTACGCACGAGGCACTGTTCCAAGTCCTGGGGAAACGGCAGTGAGCAAAACTGACAAAATCCAAATCTCTGCCCTCGTTTAGTGAGGGAGACGGATGACAAAGACAGACTGTCTGTATTAAGACAGACAGACTGTGGTCTGCACCATCGAGGGATTCGGAGCAGGGGAGGGAGATGCAATCTCAAAGAGGGTGATCAGAGGGATAAGGCAGGGACCTGTGTCACTCAGGTTCTCCAGAAAAATGGAAACTACGTTTTATACACACACACACACACACACACACACACATGTATCTTATATGTCTCAGAACTATCCTATGTGTCTCATTATATATACACCTTATATTCCTTACTATATATATATCTTATCATTTCTTACTTGTATATCCTATTACACATCTTGTATATATTCTATATATCTCAGACAGCCTGTTAGTCTCATTATACATATCATACACCCTATTATATATCTTGTACATATTATATACATATATATTATATAATACAGACATACAGAATACATATAACTATATATAAGTATATTTATGTGTAAATTCTAGAGTATTATGTATGTATGCAGGTATTTTTTATTCATTTAAAACTTTATTATTTATTGTTTTTAATTGAAGGATAATTGACGTACAATATTTTATTAACTTTTAATTTTTTTTAAGAACTAGCTCCTGTGATTGTGGGTCTGCAAGTCCAAAATCCATGGGGCAGCCCAGCAGCCTGGAAACTTAGGCAGGAGTTGATGTTTTAATTCGAAAGTATCATTTCTTTCTTCTCTGGGAAACCTCAGTTTTTGCTCTTAAGGCCTTCACCTGACTGGATGAGACTCACCCACATTATCAAGAATAATTTCCTTTACTGAAAGTTGAGTGATTGTAGCTATTAGCAACACCTACAGAATGCTTTCACAGCAACATCTAGATTCATGTGTGACTAAAAATCACTTGTATAAGAGCCAGTAGTGATACAAGCTGGCATGTAAAACCCAGAGAGGCTGGGAAACTTGCCCAAAGTCACACAGCAAGTAAGGTCAGAGTCTGGATTTGAACACAGGCAGTCTGGCTTCAGAGCCCCTGTCCTTTCTGGCCCCATTATCCTGCCCTGGTTTCTTCATTTACTGAAGGAGGGCCGGTTTGGTTGCCGCAGTAATAGTAACAGCACACAATCACTATGATGAACGGGTACGTACTGTATGTCAGGTTCTTTTCTAAAGTTTTTGCAAGTGTTAACTAATTTTCATGATCTCGAGTAATCCATTTAACATGACAAAATATTCTTTATTCTCCTCCTGGGAGTCTCATGAAGACTGCATCAGCGGGTAACCACGGGGGCAGTGTGCTCGGGCTCCACGGTGATGGGGCCTCACACCCCGACAAGAGCGCCATCACCTCCCAGCTGTGTGAGCTCCCTCAGGTCTCCGAGACTCTCTGAGCCTCAGCTTCCCCAGATGTCTAATGGGACAGTGTTGGTGTGAAGAAATCACTGTCGTTTGTGTAAGAGGCCTTGGCACATCCTGTGTGCTCAAGAAATGTTAAGCATTATGATAAGGTGTTTCCCAACACTCCACCACATAAAAACAGTGTTAGACTTCTGCTCCCTCCCCTGGTCCCTCTGGGATGGACCCCCTCCTTCCTTCTTTCAGTCTCTGTCCAAGCGTCCGCTCCTTGGAAGTCTTCCCGACCTCCCGATCTCACCGAGCCTCACTTAGCCCTGCTGCCTCATCGTGCGGTATCCTTCTCCGTGGCCCCAACTTTACCCCAAACCTTTTCTTATACTTTCTTACCTCATGTGTTGTCTGTCTCCTGGGTCTAGAACGCAAACTCCACACGTAGGAACCTCATTTGTTTTTGGTGCTGAACCCCCATCACCACCTTCCAGATCTGCGTCCAGGCGCTCAGTGAATACTGTTGGATGGTGACCATGGGCCTCTGATTACTCCCTGGGGTTTGTCTCCATCCAAGGTCTGTCACCCCATCCTGTCCCAATCTCCCAGGGACCAGGAAGCACTGAGAGAAAAGGGGGCACGTCCTTCCCACATCTCTCCTCCCCGTGCGCTCCCATTTTGTGAGAGGACTGGGCGGGGCGTGGAAAGGTCCAGCATGGAGAGGCCGAGTGTTTCATCTCATGAGAGGGGAGCTCAGGAGGAGGGTGAAGACTGCTCAGAGACTCGGCCTCTTAGTTCCTAGGAGGGGCTAGGTGTTACCAGGCTCCACGTGCTGGTTTTACTGAAAGACCGTGTCTCATGCCCCTGCTTGAAGACACAACCTGCCAACAGGTGTTCGTCTCCACTTGGGCCTGAATGTACACCCGGAAGACACTTTCCAGCCTCCACGTAGGCCTCCCAGCTGCCAATGGCATGCGAGCAGGAGAGATAGGGCCACTCCTGGTCCTGGTGCTAAGACACTGGTCAGACACCTCCTCCGGGCTGTCTCCCCTGATCTGCTGCTGGAACGCTCATGTGCTAGCAACCAGCTCTGACCAGCCCTGTGTTTCCAGGGATGGATGGAGTGTGGGTCCTAAGTGGCCACAAGGAGTGGGACAGGGTGAGTTTTTGGTATGAGACTGAGAGAGGAGGTGGGGGAGCAGGAGCGAGACAGAGATAGAGGGTGGGGGGCTCTGTTGCCGGGTCCACCGGTGACAGCAGCTTAGCCTGTGCCCCGTTACCCCATCCAATCAACTCTGGAGACGCCAGTTTAAGGAAGAGGAAATTGTAGCACAGAGCGTTAGATGGAACCTGCTTGGTCACAGCTGGGGCTCACCTTTTGTTCTTCCAACCCTCACACTTAACTTACCCTGTGGGTCACAGTCACTCTCTCAGCCACCCCACCCCAGGCAGGAAACCTGGTCATGTGACATCTGGTCTTGCCAACAGGGATAGAAGTGCGGGGACAAAGGTGTGTTAGCTACGCAGGTACAGCAGTAGCGGCCTGGAGCGTCTCAGCCTCTCTGGGCACCCTCTGGATGACCCAAGGAGCCTGGTCCTTGCTGCCCTGCCGCCATCCCATGGTTGGGTCAAGAGAGCACAAAGGACAGATGGTACTGAGGGTCCTCCTGTTGACCACGGCAATGAAAGGGCTTCCTGAAGAAAATGTCGCATGCAGCAGGACATCACTGTCACCACAAAAGCCAGAGAGCCCATCTGCCTTTAAACGTTAACTCTCAGTGGCATGATGGCCCTGGGGCCAGCTTATCCATGTCACCCCACTTCTTCCCAATTGTGATCCAGGTGGAATCGACCCCGTGTCCACGTAGAGGGTGGACACTGGCTTCAGGCTGATCTGGGCAGTCATTACTTCCTTTCCACAGCTACACTTCAGGGATGAGAAGCCCCAGATCTAAGCCTAATCAGCACATGGCTTTTCCCTGTTTCAAGCAACCAGCTCGTAGTGAGTCCAACAGAATGAAGCTTAGGGCTTTTTTTGTCAATGAGTGGAAGAGATCTGTTTTCATTTGGACGTGACTGAGAAGATATGTCAAGAGGAGCTGCTGGAACAACTATGAAACCACAAGGGAAGCCAGCCTGAGGCCAGGGTGAGAAGAGAAAGAGAACCACAGGGAACTAGAGCTGTGGCTGCTGCCATGCATCTGGATCAAGCCCATCCTGATGCCCAAGCCCTGCCAGATATTCAAAAAACTCTCCATGTTTATGCGTGGATGAGTGGCTGCTTTACCAACTGGTAACACCAAGTGTGCTGACTGACATAAATGATTGCTTAAAATGAACTATTTGTTCTTCGTACACACCAGTGTCAGGAAGTGTGGAACATGCAGAAATGCCATGACGTTTGCGATGAGTAACAGAGGACATGAAAATTATAAGGGTGGTGGAAAGGTCAAAGAGAGAGGAAGCTGGGGGAACTCTAGGTACAGGCAGCTTCAGGTGGGCCTTAGGAAATGCCTTCACATTTAACTGCAAAAGTAACTATGAGAACAGCCTCAGACGCGCTAACTTATTGAATCCAGTAAGTATTTAAACCTGAGGGTCAGGCCTATTGATAACCATTCCTCCAGCCCTCATCCTCAAGCACTTCTGGTCCCCGTCTCTCTCTGTAAAATGACACTGGTCTCCCTTCATGAAAAGTTTCTTTCTTTTTTTCCAATGGGGGTACTTGGAATGGAACCCACAACCTCCTCCATGCTAGGCATGCGCTCTACCACTGAGCTATTTTCCTCCCTCCCTTTATTCAAACACTTTTCTTTTTAATCATGGAAAGTTTTATTTAAAAAAAATTGTAACAGACCACTATGAGAAACTTTGGCATCTGAAGCGGTTACTGTTATTGCCAACTGAAGAAAATTTTTTTTCCCCTTCACGAACAACTTGCCAACTTCTACCGCTTACTAGCTGGGGGTGGGGGGTTCCAGCACGGCTGAGAGAGACTGCAGGAGGGTTGGGGTGTGCAGGACGGAGGGCCCTCCAGCTCTAACCCATGGAAGAAACTCACAGATGGTGACAACCTGACGTCTGGACTAGACGTGGTGGGGGTGGTGACAAACGAGGGGAACTGTCCCCACGTTCTCTTGTGGAACCACCTCCTCCAGGCCCCTCCTCTTCTTTACTATCAGAAACGGAGACCAGAGGCTCCAAACGCTCCATCCAAGCGCCTACGACTTACTGAGAGCTGGGTCTGGAACCCTGACGCCCTAGGTTCCGCAGCTCCTGCGAGTTACCAGCCACAGCCAACCTTACAACGTGGGCGCCTGCTTTCCATTGCGTCGGCACGGACGCCCTGTCCAGCTGCGTGTTGGCAGTTCACGTGCGTGAACCAGGAGCCCGCCCACGACCCCCGCATTCCTACGGCGGTGTGGGGCGGGGCTTCTCCAGCACTGCACCGCCCCGGCCCGCACACTGGAGCTCCCCGCACTGACCGCCCACCTGGCGTAGATTCGGGGTGGGAGGGGTGCCCAGCCTCCCTAGGTGTGGATCCGCAGGTGCCGCGTGAGGTTGGTGTTGCGGCTGAAGGTTTTCCCACACTCGCCGCACCTGTACGGCTTCTCCCCGGTGTGGATCCGCTGGTGCACAGTGAGCGAAGAGTTCTTGATGAAGGCCTTGCCGCACTGCGCGCACCTGTAGGGCTTCTCCCCGGTGTGGATCCGCTGGTGCTCGATGAGGTAGGCGCTCTGGCTGAAGGCCTTGCCGCACTCGCCGCAGGCGTACGGCTTCTCGCCCGTGTGGACCCTCTCGTGCTGGGCGAGGGAGGAGGTCTTCCGGAAGGCCTTCCCGCACACGCCGCACGCGTACGGCTTCTCGCCGGTGTGCGTGCGCTGGTGCACGATCAGGTTCATGCGCTGGCTGAAGGCCTTGCCGCAGTCCCCGCACGCGTACGGCTTCTCGCCCGTGTGGACCCGCTGGTGGATGGTGAGCGACGACCGTTCCAGGAAGTGCTTCCCGCACACGTCACACTGGAAGGGCTTCTCCCCGGTGTGGATCCTCTGGTGTTTCATCAGGGAGGAGCTGCGGCCGAAAGCCTTGCCACATTCGCTGCAGCCGTACGACTTCCTCTCCACGTCCAGCCTGGAGGGTTTCCTGAGGTCCGAGTGCCTGGAGAAGCTCTTTCCCCGCACGGCAAGCAGAAGGTCCCCCGCTTCTCCTGGATCCCCTGACCTGGACGGGGCGGGGATGGAGCTCTGGTTGACGAAAGCCTCCAATTCCCGACATCCGGGAGGGGCCAACTCCTGGGAAATTTCCAGCCCCCCGGGAAGGGTCCGCACGGTTCCCCGCTGCGCCTCCACCCCGGCACCCTGCGTCCGAGCGCCGTCCGAGGCAGAACCCCGGGCACCCTTCCTCGTGGGTCCTCCTGCGACCACCCCAAAAGGCGGTCTGTCTTCCAAAATGTCCTCCTGTGGGTCCAGCTCTTTCATTTCAGG